CGCTGCTCTCCGTCCTCCGGGCCTCCTGGCACACGTGGAGGGGTGTGGGGGGCTCTGTGTGGGGGGTGTCCCTCCGTAGTTCTTCTTTATTTTATTTTTTTAAAGGAAGGGTTAGATTTGTGCTTCACTGACGGGTTTAGAAACGGTTGCGTGTCTGGTCTGCTTGACGGGCTCTCAGCGGTCTTGCCATTGAATAAAAAAAGAACCAACAAAGCTGTCAGCGGTGGGCCCTGTGCGGGAGCCGGCAAGTGTGTGCTGCGAAGTGCTGCCACCTGTAGCTGTAATGCTGAGTGGAGACAGCACGCTCTGCAGTTCTCAGAACTTCCAGGTGCTTTCTCTGTTTTGCTGTAAAGTACATCTCTGCTTAATTGCATCTTTTCCTAGCAGTTCCACCCGTGGGAGTTTCCAAAGCCTGTTCATCGTGTGTAAGAACTGCTGATGTCAAGGAAGCATGTACGCAGTGTGACCAGTTCGTCTGCCAGAACTGCAGCAGGCTCTGCAGCTGCTGTAACACAGTTACCTGTTCTTTGTGCTCCACTATTGAGTAAGTGCCTTCTGAATTTTTAAGCTTGTTTTAATCATACATGCCCTGAAAATTGGCTGTAGCGCATGAAGACCCAACAAGATATCTAGCTCATCCACGTGATGGACTTGGAACTCTTCTCGTGTTGCTTTAGCAGCAGTAAAACTTGTCTGAAACACGGAGAATAAAATGCCTGTGTGAAGTAGTCTGATCAGTCTTAGTGCAAGTCTAGTTTAGCTTCTCATTTAAATGTTCTAGGAGGCAAAAAATCCTCTTGCTTTCCTGCCAGCAATATAGTATGCTGGCCACTGACGAATGAATACACTCCCAAGGAGTAATCTGAAGTTTTTGCTATCATTGTTAACAGTTCTATGATACAAAGGAATATTGAGTGTGCTGCGTGGGAGTCCCGTGGTTACAGTTGATAATAGAATAGGATGGCATTATTTGTTATGTTCCAGAAACAGTAGACACACTGACTTTGTTTCTTTTGGTTTTCTTTTTTTTTTTTCCCCTAGTTATGGTGATGTGGGAGAGCAAGTTCTCTGCAATGGTTGTTCAATATTTCAAGTCTGAAACTTGATGAAATAGCCTTTATGGCTGAAACGTCCGTAAATTTCATGAAGTCTCCTTACGGCTGGTCAATTAATCCTTTTAGCATGTGAATTAATCATGGAATTTCTATGTTTTATATCTTTATATTGTACTTTTTAATATTGTAGCTAAATAAACTTCTATATTTTGAGAATTTCTAGATTATTTCGAGTCAACTTTCTCCTTTTCCCTAGTTGTGATATGCCTACCTGGAAGGGGCAACTTTGTGCTCTTAGCTGGTGTTCCTTATGTGATATAGAATTCAGAATATTCGTTCAGTGTCCCTCCACTTGTTGCTCATGTTGGGACACACTTTTGTGGGATCAGAATAGAAATCAGTTGCTCCTTGTGTGCTTTCAGGTGAGTGTAAATCTATTCTGGACATGCAACACTTTCTTTGTGAGCTAACTAGAAAAATCAGCCAGGCCTGAAGGCTTTTCCAAATAGAGAATTTGCTGATTTCTGGTTAAATTTTTTTTTAACTGTCACAAACATCTTATGATTACTCATAGCTTGAGTGGTTTTAATTGTTCTTTCCATGGTAACTTTGACAGAAAGAACAATGGTACACCAGGCTTGGAGCAAAAAAACCTTTTCTCAATAGTTAAGTGTCAAAGACTAATTTTCCTGTACTGTCCTTGCAAGATCTTTCTTGGAAAGCGGCTTGTTTGTATAAATTGCCATCTACGCTGTAAACTTCATATTGCCCTGAATACCCACTCAAAAATAGCTCACAAAGTGGTCTGAAAAATGGTCAGCGCTCAAGTGTACATCTCCATAAACTAGTTCATTCCTCATTTTCCTTTCATATTGCTGCAGAGACCGATTTGATTAAGTATTGTTTGTGCTGTAGGAGTGAGACTCTCATTAAGTACTGCTGAAAGCCCCGCAAAATAATTTCCTTTTGCTATTTTTGCTATGTTTTTAAAAATAAAAACACCAGACTTTTCATCTTGCAAACCAACCATACGTAAGGCAAAACTACAGTGGTCTTTACTTCAGGAAAATGATGACTTAAGTGTTTGATTTCAGACTGTAGGAAAAAAGGAACAGATTTCATAGGAAAAAAAGAAATTCTCATGGCACTTGTAGCTAATGCTGTTTCCCAAATTATTTGCCCTGAATTCCCAAAGCAAAGTCTGCCACTCATGCTTCCTAGTCTTCTCAACCATGGTTAGTATATTTTGCGTGGAGTAGCTTTTTTTTACCTCTTCCCCTCCCCTGTAGCCATTTCTATTTGAAGAAATTGAAAGGCCCTTGCAATGCAAGTTGAGAGACTTACTTCTCTTGTGGGGACATCTTTATTTGACGTGCTGTTGAAAGCATACTGGGTATTATTGCATTTCAGAATACTGCAACTAACCAAACAGAACAGTAAATGCCTTAGCAAAGGGTGGGGTGATAGCTATTGCTGAATAGCACCACTACTTCAGAGCTGCACGTTGCATGGCTTTGGATATATCGGCCACAATGAGGTGCAAGATGACATTCCTTCTAGCCCCAGTCTAATACCTTGTGTAACTACGGAGAGACACTTCAAAAGCATTTGTGCTGGTTAGGGTATCCTGAGGCGGGGGGGCGGGGGTGTCACTTCACTACTAGGTCAACCATCTGTGTGCTAGCATAGTCTGGCTGATGGCTCTCATTTGTTTCCCTGTTCTGCATGCTTTGTAGCTGGTTAAAATGGGAGAGTTTACTAGTTCTTGCTCCAGTCTTGATTTTGAGCAACTGTAAAATATATCTTGTCCCCACCCCCAAAACAAACAAACAAAGTCTGTGTCAGTCAGGTGAGCTAGTAGTAAAAGTATTAGTCAGGGTGTGCAGTAATTCCACAGTATTATCTATCTTTTCAAAACTGTAATAGATTAAGTCAGGATGACGGCAGATCTCTGGTGCAGTTCGCAGCCGTCAGGTATCATAGGGCAGATTAAAATGTTGTTCCTGTGGTAAGCACCTTAAAACACAAAGCTGAGTTTTATGGATGGGAAGAATCTGTGGATTACTGCATTTAAATGTTAGTTTTAGGAATGAATTTTAAAATTTGGCTTTGTTTCATTTGAAGCTTTAAGCAGTGAACAAAAATGTTTTTCAGTCAAGCATATTTTTCAAACCAAAACCTTTAAGTACGTATCTGCTTTTTCTCATTCTCTCCCGAGGGTGAGAGACTGAAAATACTGTTTTGCTTCTCATGGAGAGATGAGACATGTTGTTTACAAATGATTTATGTTTTGAAGTAGTTGATAGATACAGGTTTTTTGGCTCATTTAGTCACTGCTGTATTTCATAGAAAGCTGTCCTCTGTAAACAATGACATGGATTTCATAGCTTAAAGTTCTTATTTGTTATCCTCTAGCCTGCCCCTTGAAAGATGGTTGTTTATTAGGACAGATACCTGATGCGGAGTGAAGACCTGGGAGAAGAAAAAAGCAGGAGGGCTGGAAGAGAATGGTTAGAGGCTGGGAGGAGCAGGGCAGGAGGGGCACAGAACAGTGTGGTCAACTCTTGCATCGGGGTGGTGCATCATACATGTAAGAAGTGTTTTGGTTTTTTAGTGGTTACCAGCTCGTTTGCTTCTCTGGCTTCAGAAGGTGTGAAAAACTGCTTCTCATGTGCTTGTATCTCCCAAAAGACTCAGATCTCGTTATTGAGGAAAGCTCCTGCTCTAGCCCTGCAGTTCTTAGATGAACAACAGGAGGTAAAACTGCGGACTGTTTAAATCTTTATATTGCCTACAGAGAAAACCCATGGGAAGGGAAGAATCTTCGGGTGAGAGGTCCGAAGATTTTTCTCTTTGTCTAATTAACTCCTACGCACAAGGCCTTGTCTGTTGCCACTGATCACAGAGCTGTATGTTGGGTACTCCTAGGACTGCATAGGGAGAGCCAGAGAAATTGTCTGGTTTATTAATTGAGCAGGAGATTGTTTTTTATACTGTGCTTTGTTGTTATCATATGTTCTTCCCTTCCTATTCAGTGCAAAGTGTCAAAAATCAAAGTTTGCCTGGTGTTCAGAGGGAAGGAGATCCTCTGGGGAGCCAGCGTATTGACGGGTGAAATACCCTACGGTAATGATTTTACAGAGGGATGGGAAACTTCTTCTGAGGCCTGCATACCATTACTGGTGAAATACATCTCAAAGAGGCCAGTTTTATGTCTAAAAGGAAGTCAACTGATCTGATCAGGATAAAACAATTTCCTTTAAGCCTAATATGTGAGTAAATACTAGAAACGTATGGTTGCAGAGATACCAGATATTTCTTTAGGGACAATCTAGGGTGGTAAAAGACTTCAGTAGTCTCCAGTATCTACAGTCTGCATTAGAACAAAACCACACAATATTATGAAGAACTTCAGTAAAAAGATCAAATACACTTGAGTTATCTCCTTCAATAGCATTTATCCATTACGTGCATCCCTCATAGTAGTGTTGTGTTCTTGGGGGGTAGACCAGATCTGGTGGTTACACAAACGACCTTAGTCCTGTGTGCGCAGTGAGTAATTCCTGTATGTTTTGTAGATCAGGTCAGAATCCTGTTTGCTTTCCAAGAGAAGAGTGAGCCATTACACAGATGATCCAGACACCCTAAAAAAAAAAAAAAAACCCCAAAAAGATCTTTGCTCAGGACACAAATCTAACCAGTGCGATTGTGTGACTGGTACCTCTTGTTTAATACAGACAGCACCTAAGCCTCTTCCCTTCCTTTTGTTTTAGTGTCCTACCCATTTGGACCCTGACTTGTAGCCAATTCACAGCCTTTTTTTTTGCCTTTTTTTTTTTCCCCCTTCTTTCTGGGCAGGTGATAACTAGATGCAGCTGTATTTTTATCTCAGGACAGGGCACAAAACCCAAGTCATTTAGGTGTAAGTGAAAGATGATGTCCTTTTTTTCTTTATGAATATGGGTAAGACATCTATGCTTTGCTTCTGTGCTATATTCGCTACCATCAGCTGTGAGATACTAAAAGGCGGCAGCAATCCACAAATAGTTTAAATCTTCTGAATCTGTTCTGAAGAGGCGCAACCAATAAGTAGAAATGGAAACAGTATCTTTGTCCCTAGGTTTGTTAAGTCTGATTCTTTTGAAAACGCACAACTAGCCTCCAGGTGAATTGGTTAGACAACAGCAAATGCCAGCACTATGCAAATAATACATACTTCTTTCTTTCACCATGCAGGACCCTACTAGTAGTTGCATGATGGTTTTGTGTTTTGAGAAGATCAGACTGGATTAAAAAATTGAATCCTAGCAAAACTTAACCAGTATTAAACTCCCACCTATGCTGTATGTGTACAAGCTTAGATATACTGCTCCCTTGTCATTTTTGGTTAGTTGTGATACTGTTTCATCGTGGCAGGATGGTGCAACTGTTAGCTATTTGTGCCGCCTTTACCTTCCAGCTAGGTTCCTGCAGTGCTGACTACTTAGGCATGAAGTCCTCAGTGCTTGGGGAAACTACAGATAGTATAGAGTGTGGTGGTGTATCTCCACAGTTTGTTCTGTACATGTCAAGCTGTTCTTGTGCAGTGGTTTACCATCGACTGTCAGACTAAGCTTAGATCCCAAGCTATTGTAGAAATGTGTGGGGTTGTCCGAGCAGAGGGAGGAAAACCTCAAACCATCCAACAGAAGCACTCTGCCAACGGGCAGAACAAAACTGCTACAGCAGCACAAAGATCGTATAGCCAAACTTTGTCGCATAACGTTGGCTATTACAGCTTTGCAAATGTGAAATGAGAGGGTTGGTGGGAGGCTCTTCCAAGAGAGCATCTTTCTTCCAGCAGGCTTTTGCAGGAGGACAGATGAGGCTAAGAAAGACCATGCGTACCCTGATGTTGAGTTTCCTTGTGCCTTGTGTTTCTTCCACTCTTTAGGGTTTTTCATCACTGAATCTTACAGGGGAAGGTAGCAAAGCTTTGAACATTGTGTTCTGTTTGTATCAAAGCAAATTGGTTAACCTATTAAAAGTAGCCAAGAGGCTTCAGAAAATGTTAATGCTTCTTTAAAAAGCATTTTTTAAAGCATTAAAAGGCTTTGAAAGGCAAAAAAATAAATAGGAGCTATGTAATTCAAAGACCGACATTGCTTGTGGATAGCAAATTGGAAGAAAATTATTCTAAATCTTACTTTCTATTTTACATTAACAAAATTGCAGTAGAGTGAAAGTGATTGGATGCTGTATATTTTATAATATTTTAATGAGTATCACAGTAATATACATAACTTCTATCTTTTGTGTAGATACTTTATTTCTAAAGAAATTGAAATATCATACTTTTTACAGTAGATTGCATTTTGAGCTGCTACCATTGTAATACAAGTTTTAATGATATTTGCTAGTGTTGTGTATTCTGGGCTTTTGTTATGTTGTTTTTTCCTTAAGGAAATGCCTCAGCTGGAACCAAATTATTAGAGCTTACACTTTTATGACAAGTTTTTTAGCTCTCGTGGTTGTGATTTCCATTAAAACCTAATGATAGATGTTATATTACTTATCTCTTGCAGAGGTTATTATTGCTTAAACATTTTGTGGTTGTAGGATTTACTTTAAACTTTAGGATTTATTTAATTGTATTTTCTTACACTGTTTTACTCAAATGTAGGAGTTGAAATCATGATCCCCTTCTTGTTTCTTCTGTTGTCACTTACTCTAAGATACGGATGTTTTTCTGTTTCCCTGACAAATACAGTTGTAAGTAGTGGGTCCACTTGATAACCTGCACAGCAATGTCAAAATAACATAGTTTCACCAGGTACTATTTTGATCTGTTCCACATACATATGCTCTTAAACTTGCACTGAAGTTCCGAAAACTGTCAGCGGCTCCTTGTGCAGAAGTCCACTTTAATCTGGTTAGAGACTTAAGATAACACGTAACCATTCATCCTACCTTTTCGGTAGAAGTTTCATGTTATAGCCACAGGGTGGCATCACTATGTTAGCTTTGTGTCGATTGTTAGATTGTTACCCAAGTTCTTCGTTTTTTCTCAAGTCCTCACAGCTTGGTTGATACTGTTATAATTGGACTGCTAGGTTGGGGGGGGGGGAGATGTTTTAAAATATCCCCCTCATAAATCTGTAGGTCCAAAACAAATGCTTCCAAAACAGAATTTTTTTTCCAAAAATACTTTGTACTGTTCATAAAATATAGCCTGAAATTCAAAATGGACCATTTTTCTGTCTACAAAGACAAAAGCAAAATGTAAATCATGTGCACAAACATAAATTGATTGCATTATTTTTTCCTTGAATTTTAAGGTATCAGTATCATAAACAAGGGTATTTATATGCCAGACAATATGTAATTATATCACTCTTCTCTTAAAAAAAAAAAAACAAAACCAAAAACAAAACAAAAAACCCCCAAAGAAACAAAAAAAACCCCAACCACCTTATGCCACATTCCACATTTTGTTGCATTTAATTAACATATCGCATACACATGGCTTCTCATAAAGACATGAAAGAGTATGGTCATTGCTATGCTGGTAGTAGGACTGTAAAGCTGGATTTTGAAATGGATGGTGCTGAGCGAGCAGGCTAACATCACTAGAAGGCTGCTGCCCATCACCTTTGCATGGCAGTGGCAATGGGGGGATGGTCCTGATGATTGAGAAAAGGTGAGGGTTGTTATGCCATTCTTTGAAGACAACAACTTGAGGAATTACGGGCTGGTCAGTCTGACCTCAGTCCACAGGAAGATTGTAGTGTGAATCCTCACAAAAGCTGTGACCAGCACTACATCCAGGCACATGAAGGGCAAGAACATAATTGGGAACGGTCAACATGGATTTATCAAGGGCAAATTATGTCTGGCCAAGCTAACTGAGCATCACCAGATGAAAGAATTGGATGTCATTCACCTTGACGTTAGCAAGGCTTTCAACACAGTCCCCCAAAGTACTGCTGTAGAAGCCGCATTGGAGAGGTATGGTTTGGACAGGTGAACCATAAGGTGGGTAGAAGCTTTGCTGGACTGTCAAAGGGCTGTGACGGGCAGGGCAAACCCAACCAGCAGCTGATGACCAGTAGCATTCCTCAGGGGTTGTTACTGGCACTGATGCTATTGGATGTCTTCGCTCGTGACCTGGGCGATGGGACAGAGCAGACCCTTAGCCAGTCCCTGGATGATGCTGG